ACAAACTATTTTCCTTTGTTTCATCTGATTTTGTTTTATTACACTTCCCTTTATAAAATATCACCCAGCTGGGAGCTGTGGAGAAGATGGATGACTTTGCAGTAGAGCTTCACAGGAAACTTCTGGCAGATTATGTCTATAGTAGGCATGCTTCAACTGGAAGCTGAAAAGGTCCAACTGAGCTTTCCCTTCAGTTACAATTCTGGGCTGTTGGAAGCTGGGCCAGGATTGGAGACTGAAACTGAGATCAGGGAGCTTCTTCTTCCGATGCTCTTAGTGGACCTCCCTGCCACCACATACACACAACGACTTTACTGGAAGCAGGGAGTGTGAAGGAAGAATGATAATGCAGGAGGTCTTGCAACTTAGTGGGACCTCAAGTGAGGAATGCAAAGATGAGCTTGTGAGGTGGAAGAGCATCCAAAACCTCAGCTTGCTTGTGAGGGGGAAGAGCATCCAAAACCTCAGCATGTGGTCTGAAAGCTGACACTTCTGCTTCCTTCCCAATTCTCTCTCTAACGAGCATGACTTCCTCTATTTAGGGGTTTATCAGCATCCTTCTTTCTCCACAGGATGGTCAACCATTGGGAGATGTTGAAAGCCATGCCAGTAACAAGTCTATGCTCATGGTGCCATGCAGGCATCTGCAGTTTACAACTGGTGTGACCAGGCTCAAGTAAAGACTGACTAGCCAGGGTCCTCATCATCCACAAGTGGCAAGAAGTCCTAGTGCTTGGTGTTGGGGCAGGACACAAGAGTAAGGAAGTGGAGAGTGCTGAGCCTGAGTATATACATATGTTTACAGGAAACCAACTGCCTAGACACTGAATGGGGAGGTGTGTGAGGTGCTAGTGAGACATGACCCAACGACAGAGGTTAGAAGTGGGTAGGGGGCATCCTCCAAGAGGAGTTGCTTGAGATAAGAGAATATTATAGGGATTATAGGATGGCTTTCATCTCCTGGAGTACAGTAGTTGGGAGGGAATGCATGGGTGACCCCATGAGCCAAACCTTGCAAGAATGGGCCTTCTAACCCCCTATACACTAAGCATGAGTGCTGTATAGCAGTGGTTCCATACAGCAGTCTTCCTCATTGGCATCTTCCACAGACAGGGTCACTGAAACCAGCTTCTAGATCCTGAGGAAGCCATGGTAGAAGAATAGTAGTCCAGTGGGATCTCAAGGGAGACCTTGTATGGCAAAGCTGGTGATTGCCTATGAAAGCTCAGGCCTCTCTGAACCAATTAGTTTGAAGTCAGGCAGAAGATAGGGCAGACCTGACACCTTAGAACTAACACAGCTAATCACTTCATAGATATGCCATTACATCTAATGTGGACCCAGGCATACCAGTGTAAAGCTTTCTCATACCAGTCTTTCCCAATTCATGTGGGAATCATTGCACTACTATTAAATAGCTTTCTGCAAGTATAACAGCAGAGCAAGCAAGGACTGCACAACTGGGTGAATGAGCCACTGAAACTGGATACCAGCTTCTCCAGCACAGAAAGGGTGTTGACACTTGGTTTCTTTAATAGTATTTTGGGGCTGAGGACAGACCACTTGAAAAGCACAACCAAAAAGTCCACTGATAGAAAGAATAGTTGTTGAAAATAATCGTTGTCTACTTTTATGTTTCATGAGGCACAGTTGTGTTTTATGTGACTGGGTGGGTTACCATCCTGCTGCTAAATCAGGTTATGTTCACTTCCGATGCTAGTAGATTATGAGCCTGACAAGCAGAAGACCAAAGAGATATACCATGTACATGTCCTAAAGCCATGGAAAGAAGGAGAAGCATTATGGGTAGCTCCGTACCCTGACGAGCCAGAATTAGGACCCTCTCTGGAAGAGGCGGGAGGCAGGAGAGCTAGGCATACGGTTGACTGAACAACAGAGAATCCAAGCAGCACTCCATTTACTCTTAACATTATACTGGAATAAATACCAGCTTTAATTTAAATTACAGGGGAAGAGGAAGACTAAAACAATACCAACATAAAATATGACAATGTCACTTACTCGCACACCAAGCAAACATGCTTTCAGTATGCTTGTGTGCTTAAATGCAAGCAGAAAAGGAAAAGTACACCCACTGAATATTTTCAGAATCATACAATCAGTACAAGTCAGCAGTGCCTAGCCAACTTTATGAAGGGGAGAACAGATAACATTACAGGGATGATGAGTAGGGAACCATTTCAAACATCCTACCCTTCAGTTATTTATTCAATTCATCTCATAAACCAGATAGAAATAATCAGGGACACAGAAATGTGCTATGGGTGCTGAACAACTCTAGTAGTACCACTAGTGTTCACATTTGAAACAGTCCCAAACAGTCACAGGAAAGGAAGATACTCAGAACCTGTGGTTGTAACCATTTCCAACCAGACTCTTAGCAGGCATTAAAATATACAACTCAGTAGAAATAAAGTCAGTTAAAACTGCCATTTTAAATGACTAGGCACTTTGGAGAGGCAAAGGATGTATGTCGTGCTTGTAAAACAGGTAAGGACTCACCCCAGCAGTCAAAGGGTGACACTCTGTATCAAGATGGGAAGCCGAAAGAATCACAACTGGCATCAGAAGTCATTCTGTGGTCAACATCTGACCAGGACAATCCAATCCAAAAATCTGGATTTATTAGGGTAAGTCTGTCTGGAAAAATAAGGGTCTTCTAATAACTGAATCCTGTATTCCTACTATTCCCCTAAGACTGAGGAAACCCATAAAATCGGGAAGGGACTATGTGACAAATGCAGTGGCCCCCCTGATTTTATCAGGCTCTTGCTCCTGCTTCCCAGGGTCTCACCCTGCTTCCTTACCTTCTGTGCCTTGTTATTGAAAGTAATGAGGGGAGGCTGCCCCCAGAAACAGGTGAGTGTAGGTGCTATCTCTCTCTTTCTCTCTCTCTCTCTCTTTCCCAGCATTCGTCACCCCCAGCCCTTAAGGACTAAAGGGTTAGTGCCTTAAGGACTAAATCTGTTGCATCCTTCTGTGCCTACTGCCATGCCCATGCCTCACAGGTGTTACTCTGTTGCCATTTGATCCCTTGTTACAAACTTTAGTCTATGGGCTACTCTGGCTGTTAGCTGGTGGCCCAGGCCCACAGTCTCTGGCCTGGCCTTTTCAGTCTCCGCAGCCTTCACTATCTCACTAGTCCTCAGGCCTGATGGCACTGTCTTGCCCTGTTTCAGCCTGCCTGGCATCCCTGCCCAGGGCAAGGCATCTCTGCACTCTGCCTCCCTCACAGCATTTGGGCTTCAGCCCCACACAGCTCACCGGGTCCCCGACCATGGCAAGTTTCTGTGCTGGGTGCCCTGTGGCCTCCAGTCTGTCCCTTGTAGCCACATCCTTTCCTCTGGTTATACAACAAACATAAATAAGCACAACTAAAATACATTCATCCTGCATCCACAGAGCTCACTTCTCACAAACAATAACTCCCAGGGCAGGCAGGTTTGATTTAAATCACTGGTCAGGAAGCCTCAACTTAATCACAAAAAAGTGCATTCTTGTTTGATATCCTCTATTCATTTAACTTCTTGAAACTTTGCACTTTTAGAGAGAGGTAAACGCTTGATTCTGTGTACACAAACAAACAGAAAGACAAGAGGGCTGATGGGTAGGTAATAACTAATCAGGTCTTGTTATCTCTCATAGATTCATAGATTCATAGATGCCAGGGTCGGAAGGGACCTCAATAGATCATCGAGTCCGACCCTCTGCACAGGCAGGAAA